TCTTTTTCTTTTTGTAGAGGTAACAATAATACACCAAATTGCACGGGCTCACTGGCGGGCCTGGGTGGCGCTAAGTCCGGTGGTAACACCCCGATGAACCCATCTCTTCAACAGAGGATAAACTTCCTGCAGAGTCACTTGAGCCAAGCACCGATGCCTTCCGTCGCCACCAAGTAAATTCATTAACTGTTAAAACCCCTTAATGGACGTGCATTGACTCATTACTTTGTTCATGCAAGGTTTCTCTACTTGCTTAGACATATTATGTAAAATTGATCATTAAATTGTAATATATTTATTAAATTCGAAAGGGAGAACACCTGATTCTCGATTTACGCGGAAATACGTTCCACGTGGATTCGTTTTACGCCAAAAGAAATCGCATAAATAGAGTTTGTCGGTACAAGAGAAAACAAAATATTGGAAAGGAAAGTTTATGTCAGTTTTAGAAATACATATTTATTTCACATAGCCAAACAAAAGAAATAATAATAATAACATTTCAGAAAAGAAAAGTATATTTTATTTGGTGTTACTAAATTTAGATCGTGTAAAAAAGAGACTTGCGTAAGAAATATCCGCGTAAATCGAGGGTCAGGTGTATCGTTGTATATCATCATAATACATAATGTAAATAATTACTGTTTGAAGTGTACACTGACAAATTTTTGAGTCATTGTGTAAGTTCTGTGTAATCTATAACTGGAAGAAACTTGGTGGATAAGCTTATACAAAAGAATTTAGTTCTGAATCCTAATCCTGATAACTATTTACTTTCTATTATGCATTTAAATGTTAAGTATTTAGCAGAATGAAAAATAAAATACAAGTTTGTTTTGGTTTAGATCAGTATTATATAACTAAAAGATCGAATATTTTCAGAATTTCATTATTTATACTTATTAATAAGATTACACATAAAAATGTATTCAAGATTAATGTATGAACCCACATGAAACTTATTTTATATTCATATACACCAAAGAAAACTCGTATTTTATATTAAACAATTTTTCAATGATAGATAATCTACTGATGCGTTCAGTTATTTTTAAATCATGACATTAAATTGTGAGACTAAGGAAGTGATAGGTTTTGCAACAGAGACTGTATATGTATGTCGATCTATATGTTACGACTAATTTCAGTGAAGAATCTTCGGTGATATTAATATCTCAATGGTTCTATGAATAATTAGTTGTCATTTGTATATAAAAGTAATTTGTATAGCGTAAAAGTACAAGTTCAAATTTTAAAGAAACATTAAATTTATTGATGATACGATATTGTATAAAATGTAAATAACTATTGGAAATAAATATATTTGCCTTTTACTACAATTAGTTTTTAATTATGATATATTTAATTGTATCTGTAAAACATTATTCTAAAAGGTCTATTTTTGTTTCCTTTTTAGTTGAAATTATCTTCAGTTCTTTATACTGTGAACAACAATCTCTGTAAGGGATTCAATTTTACGATAACTGATTGTTAAAAGAGTTATGCACTCAGTAACAGATATTTTTATTTTAATGAAGGAGGCGGCAATTGCCGTCTATAGAAGAGGCTTGGAACTTACCCATCAGCGCTGAGATGTCTAGCAGGCAACAACAACAACAACAACCTTCAAGTGGCCCAGGTTACAAATATGGTAATACACCTTCTGGCCCTCCACCTCCTTATCCGCAAGGGCAAGGACAGAATCTTAATACAAAAAGATTTAAAGTAAGTGTATGCTACTAAATCGCTAAATACTACGTGACATCAGTTTTTTATACTTCAATAATCAATAATCAAATTTGCAGCCGGGGGAAGAACCAGTATCACCTGGGTCACAACAAAGGCCACCACCATTTTATCTTTCATCACAACAGTTACAAATGCTACAATTTCTTCAACAAAATCATGGAAGTTTAACGCCACAGCAGCAGGGTCTGTTTGCTCAATTGCAGCATCAATACAGATCTATGCAACAGCACCAGCAGCAACTTAGGCTGCAGCAACAACAAGCTGCACAAAGAGGTTTAAGGCCTGGACAACCTGGTTATCCTACTGGATATAATCATACACAGTTAGGACAACCTGGTGTCATTAAGAATTATGGAATACCTCAACAACCGGTAAATATCTCCTTGAGATATTTAAACTAGCATTGTGTTTGTTACTATATTTTTCTCTATTACAGTTGCAACAAGGTGGAACTGTTGCATTACAGACAGGATTCTCGGACTCCAATGTTGGTTATAACACCGCAGCAACCGGAAATAGTCAAACACCAGGAATGCCTTACAAATCTGCCTCTGACCCGAATTTTCCTCAGAGACAAATGGCATCTGGTCAGTACAACCAATACCAGCCTAATCAATACACCGCTCAGGGTTACACACAGATTTCATCAACAACGAGTAACTATCCGGAAGGTTCTGCAGGGAACAAAGATTTGGGAGTTACGGATCAAGAACTACAGGCACTGTTATCACAGAAGGATATTGCAACGTCGTTGGCGGAAGATCTTTTGAAACACTTTGGTTCTGAAGATTTGGACGTGAAGGAGGAGGCGCCAAGTATCATGAATAATGGTACTTTAAGCTCGGGTCCATTCTCACCGTCGAACTTGGAAGAAAATACCGAGAAAGTCAAGGAAGTGAAACTGGAGAAAGTGGAGGATACCCAACCATCGTCCACATCAAAATTGGAAACATACGAGAAAAGTAACACGAAGACACCAACTCCCGTAGAAACTGTGAAATGTGAAGCGACGTCTAGTACAAATAAAATAGAATCGGTTGCTCGGGTTGAGCCGGTGCTCAAATTGGAAAGTTTATGCGAGTCTCAACCTGAGCAGAAGCTTAGTATAGACATGGACGCTAAAACTATTATCGAGGCGTGCAAGGGTCAAGGACTAAAAGGTGTACCGAATTGTTCCATTTTAAGCGATCGTTCGCCTCCACCGGCGCCACCGGATCCACCAAGTCAGAGGTTAACCAAGGAACAGCTCTTACCGCAAACTCCTAGCGTTTACTTAGAGAATAAAAAAGATGCGTTTGGCCCACAGCTGCAAGAATTTTGTTTAAAGCATCCAATAGCTGTGATTCGTGGTCTAGCAGCTGCTCTGAAATTAGATCTGGGTTTGTTCTCGACGAAGACGTTAGTAGAAGCCAACCCTGATCACGGTATTGAAGTCCGAACGCAGATGCAGCAAACTAGCGACGAGAATTGGGATCCCGTGATGGGAAGAAAAGTTTGGGGCTGCATAAGTCATAGGAGTCATACGACCATTGCGAAGTACGCACAGTACCAGGCTTCAAGCTTTCAGGAAAGCTTGAAGGAAGAGAGGGAGAAAGCTCAGGGTATACATACCTCAAATTTATCTGACTCGGACTCTAAGGACAGTACTGGTGCTGTCAGGAGAAAGAAGAATGCTTTTGGATTGGCTGGTCGGCCGGGAGCAAAAATGTTGCGATTTGGGACCAATGTAGATTTATCGGATGAAAGAAAATGGAAGCCTCAACTGCAAGAATTGATGAAGCTACCAGCATTTGCTAGAGTTGTATCGGCTGGAAATATGCTGAGCCATGTTGGTCATGTTATTTTGGGAATGAATACTGTTCAGTTATACATGAAGGTGAATAACAGTATTCTCATTAATATTTATAATTGATTTGATCTTTAAAACACTTTGCAAATTATTATTTGCTATTACAGGTACCTGGTAGCAGAACACCTGGCCATCAAGAGAATAATAACTTCTGCTCCATTAATATCAACATCGGGCCTGGAGAGTGTGAATGGTTTGCAGTGCCTGATGCATATTGGGGTGTAATTTGTGCTCTTTGCGAGAGGAATAACATCAATTACCTTCATGGTAGTTGGTGGCCTTCTTTAGAAGATCTGTATGAGGAAAATATTCCTGTATATAGGTTTCTACAAAGGCCTGGTGACCTTGTCTGGGTTAATGCAGGTGATTAAATTACAAAATTAAAAAAATAGCATTTATCGAATATTAATTAATGTATAAACCTTATTTAAAATAAACGAAATTTCTTGTTTCAGGTTGTGTACATTGGGTTCAAGCTGTCGGTTGGTGTAACAATATTGCCTGGAATGTGGGTCCTTTGACTGCTCGTCAATATCAATTGGCAATTGAACGTTACGAATGGAACAAATTACAGTCATTCAAGTCTATTGTACCAATGGTGCACTTATCCTGGAATTTAGCCCGAAATATCAAAGTGTCGGATCCCAGGTTATTCGAATTAATTAAAAATTGCCTCTTAAGGACAATGAGACAGTGCTGCTTAATATTAGAGTTTGTGAAAAGTAAGGGTGTAGAAGTACGGTTTCACGGACGGGGAAAAAATGAAGCGTCACATTACTGCGGGCAATGCGAGGTAAGATAAATTGATGGCAATTTTTTAAAGAACACTCACATAATGTTTCACTACAGTTCTCCTTATATTGAATTCATAATCATTGTAGACACATAAATAAACATTCAGTATTACAATAAAAGTAATTATTATGTTTAAATCTTATTTCAGATTGAAGTTTTCAACATCTTATTCATAAGAGAACAAGAAAAACGACATGTAGTGCATTGCATGGACTGCGCACGAAAACAGTCTCCATCCCTAGAAGGATTCGTTTGCTTAGAAGAGTACAGAATGCGCGATTTAATGGACGTTTATGATGGATTTACTTTACACATGTCTCTAACTACTTCCTCCTCTGCTCAGTCTAGCCAGTCCTCCTGAGGTTACATGCAACACAGATATTTGGACTTCTTAGGCACTCTACAGTGACTTTGATGATACAATGTCTGTGTTAGAAACGGAACTTTAACAATAACCATTATTCTGGTACCTGAGAGCTACTAAAAACAGGGGGCAGATGGCGGGGGGAGTGGATTTGGAAGTTCCACGCGTTTGAACTGTAAAACGCTGAAGATATGTAGTCTGGTTCCATTACTGGTTCTTATGGCACGCACAATGCTTGGTATAGTCGTTGAAGCAATTGGAACGTTTTGACAATTAGTTAGCACTATTTGTACAGACGATTTTTAGATTAATGGCCCAACAACGCAACAATAACTGTTCCAGCTCTCGGGTATAGTGAGGTCGAAACTACAGAAAAAACAAACGAGAGAAGACTGCGTTTTGTTTGTAAATTACACGATAAATACCACGCGTAATTCATTAAATATAATGTCATCGCGCGAAAACCTCGCGATAAGACAAGCCGATCCTATAGGTTATCATCGAGCTTTGCCCACGTTTCTTATCCGTCTCGTGACATGGCAAGGAGCTACGAAGCGTTTAATATGCTTTAACGTAGACAATTTTCTTCGTTGCTCTTTTCTTCGATGGCGTGTTTCG